CCTTATAACTTATATTTGCAAGTTTTAGGCCCATGTTAATTAAAGCCTCTTAGTGCTTCTCCAGAGAACCAAGGAATGTAAAAGTTCCCGACATTAGCCATCTGTGAGGGCAGAGATAAGGAAGAGAACAAGGAGAGATCTCTACTAAATGGAGAAAAAATCACCGGCTGGCACCGGTGAGATGGGTTTTGTTTGGAAACTGGGCCAAATGGCCCCAATCCTTCTCCTGACCTTTGATCCAAAGCCTGTAACCCCCACTCCTCAGAACAGACATGGGATGAGTTAATCACCCCCCCACATTTAACTGTGGATGGCAGGAAATTCCAAACTGACTTGACGATCAGATATTTATGACAGGGCTGACTGGACCTAAGGGTGACCAGAACTAACCAATTATTTTAAAAGTTAAACATTTCACCCAATCCTAAATTGCCAAGAAGTCAACCCCAGGAGATTCCTGCCTTGTGTCTTTTAAAAACCTAAGGTCTTTTTCTCCCGGTGCCACTCCTTGCTGACCAGCAGGGGTGACCCCATTGTACAATGGTCAAGAAGAGTCTCTTGTGTTTTTGCATCGATGGATGATTAGTTTCCTGAGTTCCCTTCATACCTTCTTATATTTAGGCTCTTGCTGGGCCTAACAACTGGACACTTTGTCCATCAGATCCCTGCTGGAGGGGTTAGTTCCCCGAGGATGAAGTGAGAGAAGCCTTGTCACACATTCAGCTTATTCTCTATTCCCAACCCACTGAAACACCAGGAGGGAGCAAGGAGTAAAGGGCAAAGGTCAACCACCACCTCCTATGTCTTCCCAAATACTGTGTGGGTGATGTCCCTCCCCACGTAAAGTCTACTATAAAAAACCGGTGGTGTGAGAAGTGTCCAGCAGCACTCAGAATGAGGGAGTCAAGAGAGGGGGAGGGGTAAAACAAACACAAACCCGATGAGGACTATGCCTGCCTCTCGCAGGAACTCAGCGAGTAGCTCTGGCTGGCCCTGAACTCACTGAGTAGCGCAGGCTGGCTTCTAACTCACAGGAATCCACCTGCTTCTGCCCCCAGCATTACGACTGAAGGGCACCACCGTGTCTGGGAGACAGCCTTTCTATCTGACTTTCTCACAGTTCAAAAGAGAAAGCCCCGTCCTTTCCTGATGGTCTTACCTCTAAGGATGGGTGTGATGATGGTGGAGAGCAGGCTTCCCGCATTGATGGCCAAATAAAAGATGGAAAAGAACCGGTTTCTCTGTTTCTCCTGTCATGGAAGAGAGAAAGTTGGGTTAGGACAATTGGCTGGGAACCGTGGAGGACTAAGGCTCCAAGCACTTCTGTCTGAGTCTGGGTACTACCTGACAATGGAGTATCCTGGAAAAGAATGGACAGAGACGGGACTCCCCTCTCAGGGGTTGGACCGAGAGAGGGCCCCAGTCACTGACGAGCGGCATCTTACCTGTCCCTCTTCAAACTGATCTCCCCCGAAGGCAGACACACAGGGCTTGATCCCTCCTGTGCCAAGGGCTATCAGGGCCAGGCCAATCATGGACAGGGCTCTGGGGAGAGGAGGGTGAAGGCCAGCTGTCAGGTCCTCAGGAGTTTCCCTGCAGTCTCCTTACAAGGGCTGGGGCAGCAGCAAACACAGGGAGACCCAACCTCAGGAGAAGGTCAGGCACAGAACATGGGCTGAGACGTGGATGACAACTGGACATCATGGAATTGGACTCACTATTTTTGTTCAATCGTTTGTCATCTATGAAATTGAAAATAGCTTGAAATCTAAACAACTTTTTGGCAGCCTTATCATTTCTAATAAAAGAATGAGTGCGTGGACCATTAAACAAGGTGAGCATTGCTCGGTGGCAGAGTAAACACTCAGTGTGCACAGGCCCTGGCTTTAGTTCTCAGCACATACGCAGACATACGTGAACATACAAGTTCCAACTGAACAAACATAAGCCTTGTGCCATATAAGCGGACTCATAATAGTCGGTTAATGACACTGAAGACATGATTTGATTGCAAAGCAGAATATGATCTGCTTTGCATAGCGTCATGAAACCATTACACTGGATGCAAACCAAAAATCATTTAAGAGGGGAAAAGCACAGCACAGCATTTATGATTATAGAGTTTTACTACAAGTTAGGCACCATACATCTGAAGTTTTGTAAGAATTTATCCTCTATCTTCTTGGCTGCTAATATTGCTTAAACTATTTAAAAATGGAGTAGCTAAGGTCTCTCTTTGATCTCGGCTGTATTAGCTGGCCAGGAGCCCCAGGATCTGCCTGTCTCTGCTTCCCCAGGCCTGGAGTTACAGGCGCAGGCTGTCATGTGCTCTCTTTTGGGTCTCAGGGATCTGAACTTAGGCTCTCAAGCTTGCATGGCAAGTACTTTCCTACCGAGCCATCTCTTCAGCCCAGTGTCCCCTTTAAGCTTTGGAGAAGGCAGCTTATCCAATCATTTTGCTATTTTAAAGGAGAGCCTGGCCTCGGCCTGGTAGTCTGGGCTACGCACTGTGCTCATAGCTGGCCCCTCACAACCCTGCTGCTGGACTCAGGCACCAGGCAGGGAGGCCTCTCCTCTGGGTACAAATGTATTCAGCAGGAGAGTCAGAGACATGGGTGATGTAGCTGCTAGTTTCCATTTCAGCCATATTTACAGCCCATGAGATGACTTCCTCCTACATTAAGAAGCTGAAGTATAAATAGGAAAATAAATCAGTCTTTAAACTTTTAAGGAGATTCTGGAGTATCCAAAGACTTTGACTTTGTGATCTTGGGGTAAATAAGGAAAGAAAAGTTGTGGCTGAATGGTGATCTGTTTGTGCCAAGTTGACAAAGGGTCAGTTGTGCTGGATGGTTTTATCTCAACTTGACACAGCGAGAATCACTGGAGAGCAGGGAGCCACAGCTGAGAAAGTGTGTTCAGAAGATCAGGCTGAGGCAAGCCTGGAGGGCATTTTCTTAATTAGTGATTGGCGGGGGAGGGTCCAGCCTGGTTCTAGAGAAAGGCTGAGCAAGCCATGGAGAGCAAACCAGTAGGCAACACCCCTCCTTGGCCTCTGCTTCAGCTCCTGCCTCTAGGTTCCTGCTCTGTTTGAGTTCCTTCAGTGATAGACCATGATGTGGAAGTATAAGCTGAAATAAGCCCTAACTCTCCCCAAGTTGCTTTGGTCATGGTGTTTCATTGCAGCAATAGAGAGCCTGACTAAGAAAACAGGTGCACACGTGTAATCCCTCCACATGGGAGGCTTAGCTGGGAGAATTGGAAACTTGAGGCCATGTAGCAAGTTCCAGACCAGCCTGGGTACACAGTAGATGCTGCGTTAAAAAGCAGGACGCAAACCAGCAAGCTTTGTCCATAGTCCACCATGCCGGTGTGCAGAGGAGGGGAATAACCGCAGTGAGGATAGACCTGACTGTCAAGAGCTCAGAGCGATGGCCAGAACAATGTGTTAAATCGAACTACTCAAAAATGAGCTGTTGTGCTTACAGGGAGGAGGTAAAGGTCTTGGCATACTGAGGAAAGTTGGTGGTGCTGAGGGCCACGGTCTATGGGAGAACACAGGATGAGCACAAACACCTCACACACACCGGATGGCTAGTCTCACCCGAGTCAAAGTGAGCATTAGGATGGAGACAGCTGCCTTCTCTGCATTACCAAGCGGAGAGGGAAACCTTGATCTCGGGGGACATTTAAGGAACAGATGACTCATCAGAGCATCAAATAAGCAGTGCGGGCGGGCGCCTGACTCACACGTGCGCAGGAATGCTGTCAGGAGTGCCGTCGTGGTTGTGGTCCGTGAGGTCATTAATTGAGCTCACGGAGAGCACCGCTTGCCCAATGGTGTAGACGATGGATAAGGAGACAATCGTCCTGTGTGGAGAGGGGGAGAGGGTACGAGTCAACCTCGCACTGTCCGCTTCCATTGTCCCTCCCGAGGGACTACAGAGCATCACAGATCCACCCACTTTTCAAAACTAGGTAAAAGCTGGAACTCTAAGGAAGGAATAACATAAGAGCACCGATTGGGATTTTGTTTAGAGCCCAGAAGGAGTTGGGGAGCCCCACCTCTAACCCCCCTCCACCCCAACCTCTGTCACCATGGAAATTAGTGTGTATCTCAACTTGACATAGCTAGAATCACTGGAGAGTAGTGGGGACAGAAAGGTTTAAAAATCTTAGCTGCCTTGAGCGGCCGCAGGGTTAAAGCAAACACGACACTGGGAGGGAGGGAGTGGTGGGCGAGGGAATCAGGGTGAATTTGGTCAAAACACGGTATATACATCTATGATATTCTCAGACAATTAAAGGTTCTCGTCTGGAACCTGGTAGCGTGGCTGGTGAGAAGCAGGCACTGACTCAGTTTCCTGACATCCGTAAAGAGAGCCGAGTCTTCCTGCTGCCTGGGCCAGCGCTTTGGTCTAGAAGAACACTTTCCTTTTCTATAAAGTCCCCGAAACTTCTGATAATGTCCCGGGAGATGCCCTCTGGCTGGGTGCGTGGCCTCAGCGGGTCCCATCCACTCAGCCTGTGAGAGCGGCAGGCAGAGGCTTGTTCTCTGAGTCCCACCAGTGATGGGCAGGGTTTTTGCCACCATTTCTAGATGTACAGTTTGGCTGGTGTCGGGAGCCGTGACTCCAGTGGCCTGCTTTGATATTTAAATCTCGGCAGAGAGATGGCTTTTAGGAGGCCTTTACTAATGGCAGGAGAACTTGCAAGTCCATCTCCTTTTGTTTGTGACAGCAGGTAGTATAACTTGTGAGATCACACCTCTTCCTCAGACTCCTCGTGGAAATTAACCATTGTTCTGAGATGTTTCTACTCTGGCTTAGAAACTCTACAATAAAAAGACAGGCCGACAGTTACTGCAGAAGAAGGCTGACTCTTGTGTAAACAGGACACAAATAAAGCAACTAGATACAATGTTGTGCAATGGGAGGAGCCAGAGGACAGGAAAGAGGGGAGGAGCTAGAGAGCAGGAGGTGAGTGGGAGGAGAAAGCACGAGGAGAGAGCACAGGAGAGCAGAGCTGGAGGAGAGAGCTTAGAGGACGTGGAGCATGAACCAGACCTAAGATTTCACAAAAAGCAAGTATAATGTGGGAAATCTAAATATTAGGAAACAGAGGGCTGGAGGCAGAGGAGGAGGCAGAGACTTGAGACTTGCTGCTTGCATTGCTTGCTGCAGCAGCCTGCCTTTTGCTGTGGCTGTCGAGTCTGGACCTTTAAAAAAGTTTCCTGTGTGCTGTGTGTTTATTTAAATAATATTAATCCTCACTCCCGACTCAAGAACCTTTCGACTCTGCTGGCTGGCTCCGGCAGGCTGGGGCGGGGGCAGAAAAATGAAACAAACAAAACACAGCAACAACCGTGCTGGACCTCAGCCTGCATCAATTAATAGTGCTGAGGGCCAGGAATAGGGCACGATGTAGAAGCATGGCCACGATGTCCAGCTTCTGCTCCTTGGCTCCGAGCCCTGCCCCGCCCACCACTCCAATCACGAAGCTCTCAGCCTGCATCTCTGCCCCCCCCCCCGCCACTCACTTGAACTTCCCCAGCCACGAGTCTGCGATCAGGGCTCCGAGGATTGGAGTCAGGTAGCACACGGCGACGAACGTGTGGTAGATGGCGGTGGACAGGTCGTCATCCCAGCTGAGGAAGTTTCGGAAGTACAGCACCAGGATCGCTTTCCGGGGCGGGAGAGAGCAGTTAAGGACGCTGAGACCGCTCTGGGGGGGGGAGGCTGGGACCGCTCTGCTCTCCAGGAGGGCGGGGGAGGCTGGAACTTACCTCGCATCCCATAGTAGGAGAACCTCTCACAGAACTCATTGACCACGATGAAGAAGATGCTCAGTGGATAGCCAAAGCAAGCCTGACAAAGAGAGGAAGAACCCAGGCATGCTCCTGCCCCATCCACACTCGCACCAACGCGGGAGGCTGGACAACGATCCCTGAATGCCGAGTAAGTTCTTGGCTCTGTTCACGCCCAGAGTCTTGACTTTTGTGATTTTTATAGCCTTTCTAAAAGGCTATAAGTCATTCCCACAGAGAGACAGCAACGAGATAAATCAGCTAGCATGAGCAGGAACTCAACATCCTTTAGCTGAGGATAACAGAAGTCAGGTCGGCCTATGCCCTAAGCAAGGGGCAAGGGAGCACAGATGTGGCCACGGAGGAACACAACTTGTATAACTTACAGGATGAGGACACAGGAGGACAAACGCTACTCACCCATGACTTGGACATCCCTAAAAGAGAGACAGAACACCAGCGTTAAAGCCACGTCAGCACTGGAGGCCACGTTGGACCCAGCGCCCCTGTGACTCTGAGCTGTCAGCTTCAGCATCCTGTGGGGGCTGGACAGTGGGGACAATCTCCTCAGGCAATGCGGTGAGCACTCAGAAGTGAGACCCAGGGCCGAGAAAATCATGCCCAAACCATTTCCTCCTCAAACACTTCAAAGGCTGCTTCCGCACAAAACAGATTCCGGTGTGCTCTTCGCCAGGTTATCAGGGTTCTGTGAGGTTCACCTCTGAGCTCAAACGTGCTCTGAGGTGTCTAATCACTCTGTCCTATTCCTAGCCACACCTTCCTTCCTGCCCTTGTCCAGGCACACTCAGTGACACCAGTTGTGTGTTCATGGAATAGACGTTCATTCCCTCAGTTTCTTCCATGGGTGATGGCGGCCTATCACGGGACGCCTGGCCCCTTTAATGTGCCCCTTCCCAGGCCAGCTTTAGCATCGGCATTTCCTTCGCCCAAGGTGCTGTAATGGGCGTCATCCATACTCCAGCCTTCCTGTCGACTGAGTCTCTCAGATGAGAGGAGCAGGCTACCCACCTCCCCAGCCCTGTCTCTTCCACACCCCTACCATGAGCAGAGCCACTGTTAGGACAATTCAGAAGATGACCCCAGCATTGTGGATTCCACCACCTAAATCTGAGGCGCCCTTCAGCGCCACAACCTCACACCTCCGCTCTTCTGTCTCCCTTCTCTGAATTTGGGGGCCTCCTGCACCCTGTCTCTGGGCTTCACTGACCTGCCCTGCTCCCTAAACCCACTTATTGCTCCATACTTGTCACCGCTGTCAGCACTGTGCCCTTTCCGGGGGATCCACCCTCTTCCTGCTTCCCAGCCCCGTTGGTCTGGTCTGGGAGCTCTTAGCTGCTCCTGAGGCACTCCCCTGCCTCTGTGAGGGGTTAGCACTCGGGCTCAGCAGTGGCAGGGTCCGGCTTTCCTGTGCCTGACAAGGGGCTTGTGGGAACCGATTGCTGGGTCTGCCATCCCTGCTGACTTGGTAGCCCTGGCACACACACATGACTGCGTTTTCTAACCAGTCCCCAGTGGCTGCACGCTTTGAAAACCGCTGGGCTGGAGAATTAAGTAATCCTCAAACCCCAGCCTCTGGAAACCCACCCGCAGCAGGAGAAGTCTGGAGGGAGCCCTTGACACCACGCTGGCCTCTGTGTCTTGTACTAAGACTCAAGCACCTGGCCCCTAGCGGAGCTCCAAGGTGCTGCGGTCTGGCTGGGACCCGTGTAAACTGTGGTATCTGGTGGCCTGACAGATGTGAGGATCCCCACTTCTCTGGCCCAGAGAACCCGGTAGACCAGCTACCCGGAGCAGAAGCCAGGAGCCCAGCGGGTGCTGGTGTCCACCGCTGCTCCCGGCCTCCTGCTGTGGTCCCCATTCTGTCTGTCTGTGTGACCCTCAGATCCAGCCCACGATAAGCAAAACCCCAGTGCTTGACCTAAAACACGTGGCTCTCCCAAACCAGAGTCCACCTCCGCGCCCCCCCCCCCCCCGTTCCTGTCAGCTGAGCTGGGCCCTTTCCGCTCCCCCAGCTCAGCCATGGCCCCGGGGTATCACGCCAGATGCTCCTGCATTTTTGCACACTTGAGGGTGTGTTTGATATTATTTGCGTCCTAGTTCTGAGCAGGGGAACAATGCCACTCTTCTCCCCAGGACGCCGGGGCTCAGCTCTTCCTGCCGTTGAAGCTGGGGCCAGGGCTTCCACACCACAGCCAGCCTGGGTTTTCCCCACAGTTAGTAGTTCTTTGATGGAAGGGGTTGCTTCAGAGTGCAGCGCATAAAGCCAGAGCCACGGGGTCAGGCCGGGGCCTGACTCAGTTCTGCCGGCTGCCACCTGGGCACGTCTAGATAGGCAGCTGGGGAAATGAAGATAGGCGCGTCTGCCTCGGGGGGCTGCTTTAAGAGCCCATGAGGCTCAGCAAGGCGGCTGGGGTGGGGGGCACGCATGGTGCCAAGGCTGAAGGCGCCGGCCACTCTCAGGATCACACGTTAGGAGCTCTCCCCTGACTGAACCAGACACGCGCATGCTGTGAGTGCACACAGTGTGAAAACAGGAGCGTATGTGAAGGCTGCTCTCCCCTGCTCCACGCACTAGTGAACTGGGACACTGCCTAGTCTAGAACCCTCAGCCTTGAATGCCACCCCCTAGGCGCTGCTAAATGTCACTGAATGGGTCTCCAAAGACCCGGCTGTCTCAGTGTTCAAGCACAACGTTTAGATCCTGCCCTACTCTGTGTGTGTGTGTGTGTGTGTGTGTGTGTGTGTGTGTCTGTGTGAATGTTAACTCCTGCCTTGCTTGGGAGCACACCTCTGGAATCACCTCTGGCAGAGCGCCAGGTCACCCCTCTCTGCTTCCTGACTGCGGCCTCCCTGAACGATGGACACACCCTCCTGCCTCAGGTTGCTCTTGTCAGGTGTTTTGTCAGGCAGTGAGACAGGCAACTACCCCCATCGCCCTCCCCCACTTCTCCTCAGCCTTCTCCTGCTCCTTAAAGGGCCTCCAGGACCTGCTGCCCTGGGCGGAGCCCTGGGCGGGTCAGAGGGAGGGGAAGCTTTCTGCAGCCATCCTGGTGGGCCACCCTGTTCACTGTAGCCCGCCTCGCTTCTCTGAGGTCAGCTCTGCCCGCCACGCTCTCCTTTCCAGCTCTGCTGCCTTCCTCTCCCTCATTCTTGATGTTCAAGGGTCCCCCAGGGACATCTGCTCCTCCACCCTGGCCTAGTCCTGGCACAGAACCTCGGCTACCACCTTATTCCTGATGGATCTGGGACTACACTACACTAGCTACAGGACTGTACTTCGATCGTTCATTAGCACACAAGGAGAAGGACAGGGCGGCCAACCAGGCTGAGGAGCCCTGATCCACTGCAGAGCGGCTCGCATTCCTGAAGACGCAGCACAATGCCCTCTGCTCAGACTTCAGAGAACGTGCTCTCCCCACGGCCTCCTGAGGGCAAGCTGAGGAGTGAGGCTCACAGGAAGGCCCAGGATGGTCTCTTGAGCAAGGGCTGCAAGCCTGGGGTCCATAGAGCCAGCTGAGTCTCAGCGGTGCCTTCTCCAGGCCCTCAGGGGCTCTGCCCCACAGAGAAGGGCCCTTTCTCCTTAGGGCAGTGACTAGGTATTTCTGCTAAATACTATCTAGCGCCAGTTTACATCAAATGTATACATGGTTATGGAAACGTTTATAGGGACAAGGCCTAGAATTTCATCACGAGAAAGACGCATCCAACCTCACTCTAGCAAAAGCCTGAGATGCAGGACCCAGACATCCCACGGGAAGCATTTTGTGTTTTGAAAGGTGTCTGTCTCGAGAACTGCCCTTATTCTTCTGGGGCAGAGGCCACTCAGCGCCTTCTGTAGAATCCCGAGCTCTCAGCTGGCCGAACACCACGGCCAGCATTTCTTATCTGAATGCACCTGTGTCAAAAAGACTGCTGTCATAGAAAAGGCCAAGTGCAGAAGCTGGGCCACAGAGACTTGATCTAAACTCAGATTTCCACTGTGGCAAGACTCAACTCACGCTGGCCCATCGTGTGGCCGGCTTCCTGGCTGCCACCCTCACGCAGCATGCTGGAGTGACCTCCTGCTTCCAGAAAAGCTCCTAGGTCACCGGAGAGTCAGAATAACCAGGGCCACATCTAGACCTCAGACCCCCTTATCTAGAGAGCTCAGTGGTGCCGGTGCGCCTAATCACTGACTAAACATTGGCGTTTGCTGTTCTTATATCTAATGATTTTGACTTTCTGCTGCTGAAACGTTTAGACAAAATTTAACAACTGCAAGTATATTTTACACGTCTCTCATTCCTAACTTTGGAATGCACTGAAGGGACAGAGAAAGCCAGGAAAAATGAGACTCCAGTGAGACCCATGATGAAAAGTTCTCCTTTCACGTGGACCGTTCCTGAGATTCAGGCAGAGCATATTTTGACCCATGGAGGGCTGGAATCTCTAAGCAATGCTTTTTACCTAAAACCAACACAGTGAGAGCTGCTTAGAGAGGGTGCGATCTGAGAAACATTTCATCTGAAGGCAAAGATGATTATGGTGTTTCCAGCCTTGTTCAGACATCATGAAGTGCATTTTCACAAAGCTGGGGGCTGAGCCCACCCCAGACCACAGCACACTGTAACCTGACGGCGTACATCACCCACAGTCAGAACACAGTCACGCGGCGCACAGCGGAGACCTCAGCAGCTCGCAAGCCCTGGCACGCACCTCAGGAAGTAGGGTTTGAGATACCAGAAGGAACACAGGATTTTGCTGAGGTCTGAGAAGGGAACTCCTCCTTCCAGGTGGAGAGAAAACTATTTCCTACCACTTCTGAAAATGCTTGCGCCCTAGACTCTGGGTAAGTTGCTGGGTATATTTCATGAAGAAAGGGGGCTTTGCTAATGTTGTTACAGCTCTTTTCTTTCTTTCTTTTTTTCTGTTTATTTTTTTCGAGTCAGGGTTTCTCTGTGTAGCCCTGGCTGTCCTCGACTCCCTTTGTAGACCAGGCTGGCCTGGAACTCACAGAGATCCCCTGCCTCTGCCTCCCGAGTGCTGGGGTCACAGGTGTGCATCACCGCACCTGGAGCCATTACAGATCTATGGACTTTATTCCGATGGATGATCATAAACACCACACAAAGAGGAGTCGGCTTGGTGATGGCAGCAACGGTTATCCTGTCTAGACCATTCTTTGCAAAAGCAAGTAAAGCTAGGCACCGAGGTCCTAGCACCTGGGAGGCAGAGGCAGGCAGATATCCATGAGTTCAAGGCCAGCCTGGTCTGCAGGGTGAGCTCTAGGACAACTGGGGGCCTGGACTTCTCTACATCTGAACGTCGGGACGTACATTCGTGCCCATAAGGGCTGAAGGCTGTTTGCTGTGTACCATTTGAAACTTGACTTTGCAGCATTCTCCTACCCCTTAAAAGGGTTTCCAAAGGATCAGGG